ATCCAATCTATCTATCTGAGAATTGAACCCATGTCCTTGGTGTTGCTAGTGCCGTACATGTACTTTGCCGGTTGAGCTGCTACAGGAATACAAACCTGTGAGATTATGTGAGCTCCACCTTCTAAAGAACACACCTTCAATCTGCTGCACTAAGGCTCCAATTAAATGTTTACTGTAAATCAATATAAATAAATAAAATCACTATTACTAGTACTGGCTCAGGAAAAGAACAGATGATAACAGAGGTCCAAATAAAACACAAGAAGCAGATCTGTAAATACTCAGGTTTGCTAATAGCATTCAAGGTCATTATTCAGACTGATTCTCCTGCAAATTGAAAATTAGAGCCAAAAGAGGAAGGAAATAGGAGACACTAATCAATTTTAGGCTTTATCAGAGATGAGACACAGTAGGGGAGGGGGTTTGTGCTCTATCTACCAGGCAAGATGCCCAGTGTGTGTGAGGTGTGGGGTGAATGTGTGATTTAGATGTGCACCGATCGACTGGCCAGGGACAGGAATCGGAAGATTTTCCTCATGATCAGCCCGGACCTGTCAGTCTCACGACTTTCCGATTCCGTGCTGGCCCGTTTTGTGTCCAGCGGCACAGGCAAAAACATCAGCTGCGCGGTCTCGCTATCTTCTCTCCGATGGTGAATTGACACACACCTGCCTCCTCTCACTTACACGTCTAATTCGCTCTGGTTAAATAGAGCTTGTATTGAGCATAATTTTACTAATTCCCGCAGATTTAGTAGATTTAGTAAAAAATTCGTAAATTGCTATTACAATTTGGTTTAAACTTTGTATTATATAGCAATTCTTAAAAAAATTACCAGCTAACTGCAAGTAAATCTGTTTTATTTACCCACCATAGCCCCTTTTTACTTTTATGTGATGCTTGACGAGTGTAAATGTTAGACACTGGTTATATGGATTGTGTGTCTGTGTGTGTTCATGTGTGATTTGGTCAGTCTCTTCTGTGTGACATCTGGTACTAAGGGTTCATACAAGAGGTGAAGGATGCAGACAGCTGTAGAGGATTGTTTCAACCTGAAGCCCTTTGTGCCAAGCCACAGAATAGGTATTTTATTCTTGTCAGCCTCAGGGCATCAGATCAGAAGGCCACATCGCACACACACACTCAAACACACAGAGAATATCTTTTTTTTTTTTGATGATGACATCTGACACTAGTGTAACTCAGCAGAGAGGGGTTTTTTTGGCTTTGAGTGTCTGTGTGAAAGTGTGTGTGCATGTCTGATGCTCTGACTGAGAACATCACACTGTTTATGAATAGGCGAGATTGCATTCCACTTTTTCTTCCACACAAAGATAAGCACCCACTCTCAGAGAGCAAAACAGAGAGACAGAGACTTTTCTGTGCGGAAGGGCTTGAATGGACAGATGTTGTCTGGGCAGATTGACTTTAAATGTGTGTACATGTGTGTGTGTGTGTGCGTGCGTGTGTGTATGTGTATGCGTGTGTGTGTGTGTGTGTGTGTGTGTGTGTGTATGTGTGTGTGCGTGTGCGTGTGCGTGCGCGTGCGCGTGTGTGTGTGCGTGCGTGCGTGCGTGCGTGTGGAATTACAGTCCAGACGGCTAACAGACGGAGTGGAGCGGTGTTGTTTTACATTGTTCTATGGAAGGTCAAGGGGTCATAGTGCATCTCATAAAGATACACTACTGTTTTATAAAAAAATATCTAATATAATATATAAAGATTTGTGTTTTTTTTATCTTTTTTAATAGGAAGTTTCTTATGCTCACCAAGGCTGCAATTATTTGATAAATGCTCAATTAATATTTCTTATTATTATTAATGTTAAAAACAGTTTTGCTGTTTTATATTTTAGTTGAAAGTTTAACCTTGATGCAGTTTTTTCAGAATTATTTGATGAATAGAAAGTTCAAAAGAACAGCATTTAAAAAAAAAATAATAATAATCCCTTGTAACATTATAAATGTCTTTAATGCATCCTTGCTGATTGTTATTTTATTCTTTCTTTCTTTTTTGATGAAGTCTTGCTGACCTCAAACTTTTTTATGATTTTCTATATGCTATTGACTTCAACACAGACTGACATTAACTTGTTATAGAGAGTCAGCACTCAGCACTGATCTAGTAAGTTATCTACTTATCATTGTGCATCATTATCAGAAGCATACCGCAAACACTGTTACCAGTCCATTTTACTTACACAATTTCTGAGTGAAGCAGGATATTCAACAAGAAAAAATCCAGGACAGGACTTGATTAGATCATGAAAAGCTACATACCACAAGAAGTCAGGTATTGGGGTGGTGAAGGGGTGGTGAAAGGGTTGGTGAAGGGGTGGTGAAGGGGTGGTGAAGGGTTGGTGAAGGGGTGGTGAAGGGGTGGTGAAGGGGTGGTGAAGGGGTGGTGAAGGGGTGGTGAAGGGGTGGTGATGGCGCAGTGGATAAGACACATGCCTTTGGTGTGAGAGACCCGGGTTCGAACCACTGTGAGACACCAATGTGTCCCTGAGCAAGACACTTAACCCCTAGTTGCTCCAGAGGCGTGCGACCTCTGACATATATAGCAATTGTAAGTCGCTTTGGATAAAAGCGTCAGCTAAATGAATAAATGTTAAAATGTAAATATTGGAAGGGGTAAAGAGGGATTTATGACATTAAGGCATTTCAGAGGCTGAGGTTTGGATGTGTTTTGATAAAATATTACTACATTTTGCTTTGCATTGTGCACAAATTGAAGCCTCCTTTTCACTATGTCCAACAAATACAGTCTGGATGTCATTCATTTCGAATGGAGAGTAATACAGGAGAGGCATGGAGTTCTTGCGTATGGGAATTTTTTAGGTCACATGCGACCCAATGTGATGCATTGTAATCAAAACTATGAGCGTGAGGTGAGAATTACTAATTATTATTTCTGTAAAATGGGCAGAAATAATAATTTTTAGAATTTTTACATAATAATTTACATTGATTAGCCCTAGAAAACCTACTGTGCTTTTCGTTTGTGTGGATATATTCATACATTCATCATTCAATCAAAGGTAAACGGCTGCTTCACGACCGATTTAAAAACTTCTGTGCGACTGCCACTAGGGGGAAAAATGCGACAATCGTATTGTACGCTAATGTTGGAGATTGTGGAAAAGTGGCTTAAGCCATTTCATACACTTGTTTTTAGCCTTGGTCTGATCCAAGATGACTTACATGAGCAAATGACATCACCTCCTGCTGCTAGAGGCTCTGGATACAGTCTCCTCCTGGGGTCCCTTAAAGACAACCATCTTAATAGTACTGGCCTTACACACACATGCACATGTACGCTCCACCCTCGTTCTAATACAACCCATCTCTTGTTTTTAATTGGCTCTCATTATAAACCAAACTGCTGCTGTAGCTCAGCAAGTCTCCAGAAATGTTAGTTAATGGTGGAATGTGCTAGAAAGCCAGCAATTAGCCGCAGCTGACAGGCGAGAGAAGAGCCGTGCCGGCCGCTTTGATGACTCCCCTGTTCGGCCAAGATGACTGTTTGTTTAGGCTGCAGGGATCCAAAGGGACGGGCACTGTTTCATTTAACATAAAAAAAAACAGCCTAAAACAAAAAACAGGTTCCTTATAAACAGCCTCTGTGTTTTGGCAGACCTGCAGAAATAGGGATGATTAATTCACATGCCTGACAGTGCCGTGGGGTATTCAAATGAAAGATTTTTTTTTTTTTTTTTTTTTGGTGGAGCAGGGCTGTGGATAGTATCAGACTCTTTGTTTTTCATTGTCTGTTTGTTCTGCTTTCTTTTTTATTTCTCTTATGAAATATTTTTTTTGTTTACTTTTAAAAGTTTACATATATTTGTCGTTATTTTTATTTATTTTTTACAGATTTAAAGGTGATGTAAGCTGCTGATTATGCTCATTTCAACCACACACCCTCTCTGCAAAACCCCACCTCAAAAGACATGCAAAATGATTGACAGAAAGAGAGTGTGACTGTAATTGGCTATTGATTCTGATTGGCTTCTGATTAGCACAGTTAAATTGTAACGTGCTGATCTACCCTGCGGGATATAAGTTGCCATGCACTTGCTGCATGTCTCATAAAACGTTCAATGTGAACATCTGGGAGAAAGAGCAGACATATGGATAAATCTGAAAAAGCGTGACGACGCGAAAGAGAGCTCAATTCAGTCCGTCTTTCAGAAAGCCGAATTTCACACAGTACGAGTACTGAATTGAATTCTCTTTTGCATCTTTTCGCGCTTGAATGGACTAATACACAAAATTATGGCAAAAATATAAGTTTTGGCGAGTATTCACGTAAACAGTCGGTTATGTCTTAAACGTAAACATTTGGGAGAATATTGGATGTGAATCAGTGTTTTGGATTTGTGTATTCGCCTTAAAGTGACAGCAGTCTAATAAACCTGCTGCTGTCTGTCATTAATGTTAATCAAACAACAAAAGAAAAAGAGAATCACTCAATGCTCTTGACTGAATAACTTTAATAGCTTTAATCTTTATTTTTAATGTATGCAAATAAATATGTCTGCTTGGAAGACTGAAGAATGTTCAATGCAATTTTGTTATAAAGAATGCATATATCATTAATTGAAAAGAAGAACATGTTCTTGTTTATTTATGAGAAGTGGTTTTATTTAATTTTAAGATAAAGACATGTTATATGTCAAAGCAGTTAAATCTGTCTGTATTGGCTGTTCAAAAGAGTATATAATGAGTTTGGAAATTTTAGAGTAATGCTTAATGGATGCATTAAAATTTAACCAAACCCATTATATTTACTATAGATTTAGTCGACTAAAATCTTATGATATTTAGTTGACTAAAACTAGACTAAAACCGTTTAGATGACTAAAATGTGACAGGCTATGTCTCAAACTAAATCAAAGTTTGCTGTCAAACTTAACACTGTTTAATACTGTACACTACAGTCAATAGGAACACACTTCACCAATTCATTTTATTTATATTGTTTATTCTCTGTCTTTGCAGGTGAGCCCGCGCTAGCAAAGGAGAACAACTGCTTGAATGCAGCAAAGGCCTGCAACCTAAACGACACCTGTAAGAAATACCGTTCGGCTTACATAAGCCCCTGCACAAGCCGAGTCTCAACGGCTGAAGTCTGCAACAAACGGAAGTGCCACAAGGCCCTGCGACAGTTCTTCGACAAGGTGCCGCCCAAGCACAGCTACGGTATGCTCTTCTGCTCGTGTCCTCTAGGGGATCAGTCGGCCTGCTCTGAGCGCAGACGCCAGACCATCGTGCCAGCCTGTTCGTATGAGGACAAGGAAAGGCCCAACTGCCTGACACTGCAAGCATCATGCAAGACCAACTACATCTGCAGGTCTGAACTGGTTTACAAAAGGCAACTTAAAATGTTATTCTCCTGAGCATTTTCTTAATATTGTTAGGTTAATGAAGTTCTAATAAAATAATAAATCATTTACACTTTACTTCAGTGAAAGGTTAGATTTTTGTACATTTTTGGATGATCGATCAAAAGGATAAAACAATGCAGATTTATTTTCACAGCCTGCTTTGCTCATATTTACCAAGAGGAACAATAATTCTGAACACAAATACATATATAAAATAAAGTCTGCTTTTTGCTTAAATTGTTATAATAGTATATCATATTTTTTAATTATATTATTACATTACAAAACTGCAGAAAAGAGAAGCATTTTACTAGTAAAGTCCATACATCCACACTTCAAGGCAACACTTATCTTGTGTGTATTAACACATGGCAGTGCAAAATGAGCTATTTAGGGGTGCTAAGAAATGCCTCACTGAATCTGAGATCACAACATGCCATCTGTAATAACACATATTCACCACTAGGGACAGAAATGGCCATGAGCAGCTAAGCTGCATCTATTGGGAAATAAAGCGTTTATTAAGGTAAGGCAGGAGAGCACATTGCGAGGACAATCGAGGTGATTATTGAAGTCTAGCAATAAAAACTGCAGCCCTAAATCTGGTTTGTGCAGGAAGGAAGCAACCCCAGAGTCATCTAAGTGGCTTGTTAAGGATTCATTGACACAACGTGGATGTAGTTTTGCCAAGCAAACGTCTTTAGGCACAGAGAGAGCGACAGCTAATGACCCTGCTCAATCAGAAGAGCCACCGCTTGGCATTCTGGGGGCACACTCAGACACTTATACAAATAAATGGAATATATTTGCACTTGTGCTCCGGGTCTGTACAGTTCACATTCTCCATTCTGCTCGCTTTTGTTCTCATTATTTGTCTTTCTCTTTATATCCATCCTGTTTATGTACCCATGATCATTTTGATGCTAGCTGTACCAAGAGCTTCTGTGTAGTTGTGCAAAGATCCCACACTATTCCAACACCATGTGTCTTAGGACACACGGCACAGCACATTCATTTACACATTCCTTCTCCGTCCTTAACACTACGGCAGACTGCTGATAAGAGTCTTCCAACACAATTTATCAGCCAAGAACTGTGTGTTGTTTGCTTTACAAACACAGATTTGGCAACATATGTTTTATGTAATTTAATGAACAGTATTTAATTATAAAGTAATGTTGCTAGTACTCATTTTACCAGAATAGATGTCAAGAAAAGGTGATAACTATTCTATATAAAGTGTGTATTTGGTGTTTCAGGTCTCGTCTGGCTGATTTCTTCACTAACTGTCAGTCTGAGCCCCGCTCTCTCTCTGGTTGTCTGAAGGAGAACTACGCTGACTGCTTGCTGTCGTACTCTGGTCTCATTGGTGAGTCTGTCTTGTAACTTGGATAAACAAGTTCATACAAAACATCTGAGAAACAATGCATTTATAAATGTATCTTTCATGCTGTACAGCGTAAAAAAAATATTTTTAATTAAATTGCAAATATATATATATATATATATATATATATATATATATATATAATATATAACTTTATCTGAGGTATGTTTTTAAGAGATAATCCATGGGTAACTACCCAATAAACCGTTTTAATGCAACGTGAAGTGGAGCCTGCGGAATGCGTTCAAATCGTTTAATGCACAGCTAGACATGAATTATTCCGCTTATACCATGGTCATTTGCCCGTTTTGACAAGCTAAAGCTTTCATTAATGTTTGATTTAATTACTTCAAAAACAGCAATGTTACTTCCTCCTTGCAGAGTAATATAATGTAGCGATTCAGTAGCGATTAATTAATTATTTAGTAAGTTAATTTATTAATAAAAGTCTCTAGGGCAGCATTGACAACATGTTTCTGTTCTCCTGTTTCTGTGTGTGCGAGTGACATGTGTGCTTCCATGAAAGCAGCGCATTAATATAGAACAGTGATTAAACTGACTTGGAACTACCTGTGCAGTAAACAGTTTTATTACACATCTTCTAGCCAATCAGAATCGAGTATTCAGACAGACCATGATATATGATCATTAACTAATACTGGTTGACTGCTAGTTCTCTTCATACAGTCCACTGAGATACTTATAGAGAAAGCCTATGTGAAAACGTGTTTGTTCTCTTGTTCTTTATGTTTTGCTTGTGCTGAAAGTCCTCCGAATGTCATGTGTGCAGCACTACACAGAAACAGCAGCTGGACACACGGGGATACAGCAGTGCAGCTATTAATCTGTGATTAGCTCATGTTGTTGTTCTACCAGTGGGAGACTGTTTCACTTTGTGGGCTAACAGTGTCACATCCCCACAGTATAGTTTTTATGAGGCACACTGCACCAAAATTATTATTTTTTAAGAAAGCTCAGTGAGAACAAGACAACGGCTAATCTAAGATGACAAGGCACACGTCAAGCATATATTTAGCTTAAAAATTCGAAACTGATGCTTTCATTTTTAAAATACATTATTCCTAAAGAATGTTGGAACATGTATTCTTTTGTTATCCAGGTACGGTGATGACCCCAAATTATCTGCGTTCACCCAAGATCAGCGTGTCTCCATTCTGCGACTGCAGCAACAGCGGCAACAGCAAAGAGGAATGCGACAGATTCACAGAGTTCTTCACTGACAACACTTGCCTGCGTGAGTTACTGCTCTGGCCCCGACTCTCCCTGCTTCTATCTAAAGTAAAATCTGAGGCACACTTGCTGATTTACATGTAGAGTTTGTGTTAGGGCTGGGCCATATAGCTTAAAAAATAGATCTCTTTTTTACATTTTCAGTCTTTTGATGAGATCTAAACATTTTGAATTTGTTTTGCTGCAAAACCAAATCAAAATGTTTAGGGCCCAATTAAATGAAAACAGTAAAAGTTATTCTCTATATCAGTCAGCACGGTTTCTGAACTACCTACAATGCCTCAATTCGCCTTTGGCTAAGCCCCGCCCCCCTTAGTTACTGTTGCTACGTCCGACAAACAAACTTCATCTGGGCTCTGGTATCAACATGGCTTATGCTGTGACAGCTCTTCCTGCTGAAATTTTATCAAACTTTTATAAAGCAGCAAATAAAGTGTCCGATAGAAGTAGGCAAAAGGGGCTACAATATACGTTCGAAGGCTATATTCACGACATACAGGTGAAACGCAAGGAACAACAAGGCATCCAAATAGAGGCAAAAGCATACCGGTCACAGTCAAAAAATGAACCACCGCATATCCTACTAATCAAGACAAAGGCTGGGACTAACAATATCAAGGAGCAACACTGTTCATGCAAGCTGGGTAGGTCTCTATTCACTTCTATAATCGTTATTACAAAGCAAACGAACTACGTGAGTATAACGTTGTATTTATTAGAAGCGTGTGCTAGATGACACTTGTCAGGATTTGACTTCGGTTTTGGGAAGGTTAAAAAACGGACAACCCCCTCCAACCTCTCTGGGAAACGTGTATCTGTGTTACAAATGCCCCAGACACAACGTTTAGCATATTTTTGATAAAACTACGACGGTAATAGCCTGCCGAGACCAAAAATAAGAGACGCCTGTGTTAAAGTCAATGGAGCGCTGTGAAAAAGTGTCGGACCTCTATGGGAGCTCGTTCTTGGCTGCGCTGTGATTGGTCAATCTACATTCTAGGGTGTGGCTTAGCCAAAGGCGAATTGTAGTCTTAAGTATTTTTTCTTCCAGGCATGTACACTTTACAATATTCCTCATCTAAATAATTCCTGCCTAATGCATACACAAAAAAAGGGGGCGAGGCCTGGATTGCATTAGTAGTGTGTTTCCTTTTTTCACTTTTCCCAGTATTTAAAATGTATTTTTTAACACTATTCCTCAGCAATATACAACCACAACTTTTTGTTGTGTTCTCATCATTTTTCTAACGACTGCTCTCTGAACCATGCAGTTCAATGCAGGTCATAGGTTATAAATGACAAAGTTAACGTCACATCTGAAATGTAAGAGAGGTATAAAAGAAAGCATTACCACTGTGAAATGTCCTGCACAAGTCTTGCTTACGAAGGTGGTTCATGTTGATCAGTTCATGTTCTTCTTGATCGGACTTTGGCTCGAACTGATACAGCAAAACCAACGCCATAGCATAGTTACAGTAGTGTTTGTTTGCAGCGCCCCAGGAAGCCTCTGGTGCTGGACCTTTGGCGGTTATCAAGAGCCGTTATATTTCCAACACATGCTCTAGTCTAGACAAATCACAACAGACTGGGGCCGGCTGACCAATCAGCAAAGACTGGATTTTTTGGTAGGCAGGTTTTAAAGAAACCAAAACTAAAACAGAATGTTCAGACAGAGGGTGAAATCAGTTGCTGCAACAATTAAATTATAAATAGAGTCTGTTGAACATCAAATTTTGTAAACGTATTCTAGTAGACCCCACAAACAAAATTATGAACCTGTAAATGTGCATAATAGGACCCCTTTAAACAATTTGCAAAGTTTTCACTTAGGAACACTAGAATCATTTTCAAGTCAAAACTTTATTTATATAATAATTTGTTTTTACTAAAACATTTTAAAGCATGTAAATAGCCACAAAGGGAGAGTTTAATTACATTTTTTTGAGTGATGATGCCAAACTAATCTTTAAATCAGAGTTTGGAATCGCTTCATTGAAATGAGCCGTTTGAAATGATTAAACTTACCAACTCTAATTGCATTTTTCCAACTGAAGTTTAAACAAAAGACAGTATTAAAACATTGCTTATTTAATAATCTCATACTTGAGCTGTGAAAGTACTGTAGTAGAATGACAGGCTCTTTTGGAAAGTAAGGCCAAATAAAAAGTGACTGCTTCATTTATATGTAAGCTCTATTATTTGTAAGACATTGACCAAGCAAATAAAAACACCTTGGGTGTGCGTTATTTTTCAAATAGTTTAACGGCCCAAAGGCAATTAGGCTATTAGCTTATACAACGTTTAATACTCAATACATTGTTCAGATATTTTATTTCAAAATAAATTTCTTAAGCATCTCATCCCAAGCTTCCATTTCTAATTTCAAAACATAATTTAAGAGCCGATAACAGAGGCTTGATATGCAGATAGAGATTGATAGATTGCTTGATTGGTCTCAACAAAGTTCGGTGTTACTCCTCGATACTGAGAAATGGCATGTAGTTTTGCAGATGCGAAACTATATTATTAATAAAATTGCAAGGCAGTACTGACAAGAAGTTTCTGTGTGTGAATGTTTCCGTCTGTGTGTCTGTACTGTGTGTGCATTTATGAAAGAGAGAGCGGAAGAGAGCAAGGTTTTCATAGATAATGAAATCCAATTTCATGAGGAAAACATGGAATTAATTTTTCCTTTTTATCATATTTTTTTACTTTGCTTGGTCAATGTCTTTGTAGGGTTTTTTGGTTCATTTGCTGTTGTAGGCTGTAAGGACCTTCGAAATAACTGAAATCATTTGGCGAAGTGATAAGGAACTGTAATGCGGTCAAGACCTGCCTGGAACTACTTATCTGTGCATTTAATGGGGGGGGAAAATGCACATCTTAGAACGTTCATCAATCAATCAGAATCAAGCATTTAACAGTCCCGTAGTATAATACATAAAATAGGCACGTCAATCTGAGCTTCAAACAACACTCCTCATATCTTCTGTTTTTTTCTGTCTTGTTTTCTCTCCATTATACTCTTGTGCGTCCATCCATGCCATCTCTCTCCTAACTGTCCATTTGTCTCATTCTCCCTTTGCTCTGTCCATCTCTTCAGATTCCAGCAAGTTGTTTTTCAAGGCTTTTAGCTGTCCGGCTGTCAGCCCGTTTTTACCTCTGCCTCTAAAAAGGCTCTTCCATCTTTCTTTTATGTGCACTTCTTTCTTTACCCTTTCTCCTGTACGTCTCTCGCTCGCTACACTTCCTTAACTGCACCAAGTGTTTCCTTTTGTTCCCATAAACTCTTAGTATGGCGTGAAAGAAAAAGTGGAAACAGCAAAGAGCGAGCTTTCAGGGAGGGCTTGTAGTACTGAAAGATCCATGAAGGGATCCGTTTAGAAAGCACTTGAACTAAGTTTTTTGTGCAGGACATCATTGAAATTAATTGAAATAATAATGGGCGAAGAAGGTCCTGTCAACCATCATACCCAGTCGAATTGTGATTTTTCTGATAAAAAATTTAGAGATTAGGGTCCAATTCTCACTATTAACTAACTTTTAACTACGACTTTTGCCTCAATAAGCTCCTAATTACTGCTTATTAATAGTTAGTAAGGTAGTTGTTAAGTTTAGGTATTGGGTAGGATTAAGCGATGTAGAGTAATGCATTAATATGTGCTTTATAAGTACTAATAAACAGCCAATATCCTAGTAATATGCATGCTAATAAGCAACTTGTTGATAGTGAGAATTGGACCCTAAACTAAAGTGTTACCACATCAATAATGATTATTATTATGATTATTATTATAACTACTACTAAATTAAAAATGTTAAAATTACTAAATAAAAACAAAATAATAACAAAAAGAAGGAATATTACTGTTGTATTATTTTACTAAAATTACAGAGCTGCGTTCTCACACTTGAAAAGCTCTTCATAGCTTCACTTGGTAAAATCACAGCCCTTGTGATTTGATAATCGCAAAGTAATCATGCTGTTCAAGTTGTAGTTTGTTACTTATATATTATATATATTTGATTTAAAGAATGGCTGTTTGTAGCTGGTAAAAATCCACCATTTTTGGTACCATTTAGCTGGTACCATTTAGCCACTGTGGATGGTGAGCAAAACTTCCCAACCTGATTGAGAGTCTACATGGAATATTTAAACTTTTAAAAATGCGCACAACAAACTGTTTCACATCAGGACCATTTACATTGAATGAAGCAGTGAAGGCAAAAAAGTGATTAAAAATAATGATAAATGTAGGAATTGGAAAACTTTCTCTAAACCATTTCAATAAAAACAGCAAATAGTTCAGATCTTCAAATCAGACTGTTTGGCATGTACCACCATAGGGCAGGGTGGATTCACTGTAGGAAGAGTGTATCTGTGAACAGTCTGAGCTTAATTTGGTTTGTTTCTTTTAGTGCTGAGGGCTTTGAGGGGATGTTGAAGGAGACTCTTCAGGAGGTTAAACTGGGTTAAACTGCATCTTTATTTTTCTTTCTTTCTTTCCCTCTCTCTTTCTCTTCTTCTCATTACCTCATTCTCTCGTGTCTCATTACCGGATTTCAGTGTTAAGGCATCCTGACAGTTCTGGGGGTTTGTTCCCAGCGCCGTCAGTATCTGGGTGTTTAGGAGGCTATGATGAAGCGCTTTGGCCTCACACCCTACACTCGCCCCTGAGCGTTATGCGTCTGTCTGCCCTTGGAACACGCTGTCCTCAGCACAGGATTGAGCAGAGCTAAGCTTCAGCAGAACAGATAGCTTGAGTAAAACTGAGATTGTTCAATAGTTTTAAAAAAATGGTTGGGAATATTAATTTCCACTCTAATATTCACCTTCACCTTTATACCATTGCTTTTTGAGTTTGCTGGCAATACTCAAACTGTTGTACAGCATTGGACCTTCCCAAAAACATACTGGCCCAATCTAAAAGACACATGGGGTCTGAAAATCTGAGATTCAAAATCTAATTTAAGTGTTTTAATTAAAGGAAGTCTTTTAAAGTCTTTTCGACAGCAGATTGGACGCAGAAGAGCCGCCCTGATGATAATTGACAGCTGACACGGCCTATCACAGGAACCTCAAAGCGAATAGGAGGCGTACAAGAGAGAGAGGGAAAAACAAAAACAAAAGCACAACAATAAACATGTATAGAACGTAACAGTGTGTGTGTGTGTGTGTGTGTGTGTGTGTGTGTGTGTGTGTATATATTATTTATTTATCTATTTTACACAAACACTTTCACATTGTTAATGTGTGTTGCAGAAAAAATAGCTTATTTTAAGCTGGTCTTCATTTAATCAGAAAAAAAAAACAGTAGCCTGATATTGCAGTACATTTTCCTTTCTTTGAAACATAAAACCTTGTGGATATAAAGGTCTCCAGACATCAGCTGGTGGAGTGTAGAGTGGATTCAAAGAACATGACTCATTGAGAGACACACATGAGAGGAAACTACACGATTCATCTGCTGAAGAAAATGTGTCAGGGCTCATAGACTCAAAACAACGATCAAAGCGCTCGGAGCCTTGTGGGTCTTTTCCAGTATTTCCTAGAGAGATAGAAAAAAAAACATCTAAAAATAGAAACAACAAATTCATCATGTGTTTGTTCAAACTATTTACATTTGAGTATGATAAAATTAGAAGAGGAGATGAAAAAGAAACATTAAGAGGTAGCGTAGCGACAGAAAGAACTTAACACTATGAGAGAGGGCGGACATTTCTGATAAAGAACAACACAACAACTACGCACATACTGTAACAAACATACAAGGGTTTTTCTTAAAAACTCTTCACAGACTAGTGTGCTGCCTGTACTGTTTAAGTGGAGATGGCAAAGAGAGTAATGGGTTTGGGAATAACAAGGAGGCATTTTAATTGTTTATTAATAAACTATTGTTTTCTGAGTCAATGTTGACTACAAAGATGAAGTTGACGTTGCTGACTCGTCATCTCCACAGTATTGTGAACGCGCGCACCTATAGAGAGAAATAGACCTTTCATTACATATATGATTATTTGTTTTCTATTTGAATTGGTTTTGTTTAAACGTTGATATTTCAAGCTTTCTATATGCCTATTTCTCATGTCTGTGAAGCAAGTAGCCTATACGCTAAGTTACTTTTTATTTTACTTTAATTTTATTTATGGGGGGTCCCGTCTTTAAATGAGGGGGCAATATATATATATATATATATATAGCCAGAATTGTATGTACACAGGCCTATTCTGGTGGGTGCGGTGATGCAGTGGCGACTTAACATGTAAGGGTGGCGCTGCCAATAAAGCACCTAAAAGCTGTCACAAAGAACCGGCAAAAGTAATGATTATGAATATGTAAAATATAGCAAGGAGATATTTTAATTGTTTATTAATAAACAAGTGTTTTCTTTGTCGTCTAAGATCAAGTTGACGATGCTGAGTGACTCGCGATCTTCAGTAGTGAAGGCGCCAGAGAGAAATGCACATTTCATAAGGATTACATAAGCAGAGAGCAGTCTGTAGTCTGTTTTCTTTCGTTTTGAATTGTTCTGTTTAAAAGTAGACATGTGAGGCAAGTAGGCTACCTCAATGCTGAGTTTCGGTTCATTTATGAGACTAGCTCCAGTTCACGCGCCGGCACCTCCGTTTCTATCGTCTGCTATATTTACTTCTTATTTATTAAATCCAGTTAAATACATTGATTAAAATTAAGATACAATTAATACAAAACGAAATTCAGGTTAAAGAAAGGTTTTGTGCTTTCTGTTTGATGTCTCTGTGAAAGTTTTAAAGCATATTTTAGTGCCGCTTTCAGAGCGCTCACGTCCGTAACGGAGAGAACACGTCCGTAACATTGTTTTTTCCTCATAAATGCGAACACGAAAAATAAAATAAAATAAAATATTTTATGTACTGTGGAGACTGAGAGGAAACCCTTCTGGTGGGTAGTATTACTTTGGTTTGGTATCGATGCAATTTGGTCAGTGCCTAAAAACTATCGAACTCGATACCCAGCCCTACCTGTCAGCGATCCATATAATGAGGCGGCAGATCCTAGTTCTGGGAAAAGACCTTTGCCTTGCCAGTATTGAGAATCGAACCCGCAACCTTCAGGTTACCAGTCTGACTCGCTAACCATTTGGCCACGAGTTTAGGCAAATACAAGTCATTTCCAGTCTGACACAGGCAGTCAAAGCAAACAGCACATTATCTAAGTTAATAGCTCAGGTTTAATAGTTAGTGATGACTGTCCTTGAAGTCACTCTGTCATATATTGAATGGCACACAATCCTGCTCCTTCTGTTAGATCAATGATTATAAATCTCAGAGAAAGAGAGATTAAGCTGATGGTCATTATGCAGATGCTTTTCATGTAGGAAATCAGAATCGGAAACATCACCTGTCACATACAGAATACAGTGTAATTTTTCATGCCATCACTCTCATTATCTATGCATGTGTATATATTTATTTATTTATTTTGATTTATTTTGAGAAATCTGTGTGCTAGATGCAGCATGCATGCACATAAATATGTTTATGAATTCCAGTATTTATTTAAGCCTTGATTTACAGTTGAACACATTTGAAACACTAATAAACAGTCATCGATCTCTCATGGCACTCTAATTTTATATTAAATATCTCCTAGAATATCACGTTGGGGCTTTGACAGCAAACAGGAGGAAAACCTATCCACAGTGTTTATCCTGTGTATCTCTTTATTGGCCCAATGGCCCTCCAATAATTATTGAAGATTTCATATCTCTCTTTTAATATGAGGTAAATACTATCTTTGCTCTTTGTATGTAGGCAATGCAATCCAGGCGTTTGGAAATGGGACAGACGTGAGTGTGTGGCAGCCGATGCCCCCAGTGCAAACCACCACCTCTATAACAACACCATCCCAGAGGGCCAGGGATCGAGAAAGATCACCTAATGCCATAGAGCCGGCGACACACAACCATCTCAACCCGGCTGACAACTCCCTCTACCAGTTCTGTGGTAGCCTGCAGGTCAGTGCGACTATTGCAGACATAGATCTTCAAGTTTCATGTATGTATTGTGGGGTTTGGTGTATGTGCCCCAGGGAATGCAGGGTTATAAAAAAGACTATGCGTTTGTGGCCCTTATGTGTTAGCAGATAATAAATACCTCTGCCTATCTTGAAAATTATGCTTTTATGAAGGGAATATTTCAGTTGTGTATGCTTGATTTGAGAGAGCTATACTACTACTATATAGGCGAGACCGATTTGTCAATTGTCAGTCCACTGAATATTTGGGGGTAGGTTTATTCTTGAAAGTAAATTTTCAAGTAAAAACCTTAAAGTCTTCCTTACAACAAAAGCTATTATCAATGACCTTTTGGGGCATGTTGTCAGAAACGACTAAAAACGCTGTATTATGCATGCTACGCAAATAGATGGCCTGGCAAATCCGCCATAATAATAGCAATCTGCCATGGAACAAGCGCGCCTGCTCTTAAAGGGAATGTGAGAAGACGCTCTGATTGGTTTATTGCACGTTACGCCCAAACCACACCTATGAGTAATGTAGCTACTTCAGACCAACCCATTTTAGATTTGCGTCGGACGCAAGAGTCATTTATCCCGCCCATAGACATAATAGAGAGTAGACGCCCTATTGGCCGCTGGGCGCAAAAAATGCGGCTGCCATCTTGAACCGGTCATACTCCTAGTAGCGTTGCGTAGCAGCAGTTAAGATGCCAGAGCACTGTGCAGCATATTCCTGCTCAAATCGGCGGACCATCGCAAATAGAGCTCGGGGGATTACTTTTCACAAGTAAAATTTAGCATTATCGTACTATTGGTTGTATTTTTTAAATAGAGTATTACCAGAGAGTTGAGAAGGAGCAAGGATCTTTGATATTACTGTACTGAAATCGTAGCCAGCTAGCTAAGTTAGGCTATGTTTACTGCACCGGCCGGTGTTCACCCGGCTATGAACTGAGACTTGATAAATCATATTCCGTAACACTGACTTAGATTACAACTGACACAATAACCCTATTGTAGAAATAAAACAAATATTACTGGTATAACACTGGCCAGCGAATTTTAGAGAAAGAAGCTCTGCAAAACAGTCCTCTTTCAGGAGTTTTAGCTCATGCAAAGCTTTCGTGTGTGTGTGTGTGTGTGTGTGTGTGTGTGTGTGTGTGTGTGTGTGTGTGTGTGTGTGTGTGTGTGTGTGTGTGTGTGTGTGTGTGTGTGTGTGTGTGTGTGTGTGTGTGTGTGTGTGTGTGTGTGTGTTGGGTGTTAGGAGGAGATGGATGCAGAAGAACGTGGTAGTACAGTGTGTGTGACAGAGAGAGACAAATATAAAAAGCTTCAAGTAGACTCTAATATAATATAGTCATATTTTGTTTCTTCAGCTTATTAAAATATCTGACTTTACTGCCACTATCTGTTTCTGCTTCTCTATCATATTTATAGTGTGTGATTTGCAAAATTCCTATCATAGCCTACATCACATATCATAGGGGAACCAGATGTCCCCGGTTTCAGGGGACAGTCCCCGTTTTTGGTTGCCTGTCCCTGGCTAAATATAGAAAAAAAATTCCTCTGTCCCCATTTTGTTTTTGAAGACACAACATTAGGTTTTTCAATCAGAATGATAGTCAAACTACTACTGGAAATGTCCCCGTTTTTTCCCCCTTTTCGGGGATTATGTTCCCAGTTTTGATCTCGGACGTCTGGTCACTTTATATCATATATCAGAATATTCTATTACTGTTAAGTTAAGCCCACTATGAATATTAAAAAATGCCGAACCATGTGTCCTGTATCATAGCTACATGTATGACCTTTGCAGCAAAAAAAATCAGTTCGGTATTCAGTGAGGTATGATTAATTAAATGCGCTGACAGCTTATTGCACCTGCCAAACAGATTACACTGAGTGGAGCGGGTGACCGGTCCAAGATGGCGGCCCCACGGCTCGTCAGCGCGAGTATGCAGTAGCGGTCCATAGGGCATCTACTCTCTATTATGTCTATAATCCCGCCGGTATAATAGCAACAGCGCCCGAGATCCGCTCACAAAGTTACTTGCGTTTCGCATTTGATACTTGCGTTTCAGATCGTTAAAATAGGGCCGTATATCATCTTCGATAACACTTTCTATTCCATTTCTATTCTATTTTTTCTATTTATTAACAAAAATACCTTGCTAGACAAACTAGGACTTGTCACAGCACTTATATATTGTTGCCATTTGTTGGTTTAACTTATTCTATTGTTCTCATTTGTAAGTCGATTTGGATAAAACCGTCTGCTAAATGATTCAATATAACTAAATGTCTCTCAGCAAAATGTAAAGAGTAAAACAATTATGAAACACAAAATGATTCATAGAACAGCAAAAATGTAAGGTAACATACTGTACAGAAAATTGCAGAAATTGTCAACAATATAGGTTCAATTAAAATTTTAAACATGGCAAAAAAAATTGTTTTATTAAAATTTGCCTTTATTACATGGTTGACTTTTATCTTTGCCAGCTATAAACGAAATGTTATGATGTTCACACTTCACAGTGCACATAATTTTCACAAAAAAATTTCCTCATTTAAGAGGGTTTTGAACTAGGTGTTTGAAGTCAGCAACATTTGCGTAATTGAACTTTTGACTGATAATCTTATAAGCTTTTCTGTAGCTCAAACAGTAGAGCTTGATGTTAACAACACCAAGGTCATAGGAACGATTCCCAGGGAATGCATGAACTGATTAAAATGTATACATTAAATGCAATGCAAGAATGCACTGCCTTTGTGACAACTAGCCCTGCTACACATACAATTTACGATGACTGTCAGAGCTGGCCATATACGGCATTTGTCTTTTAATTAGAGACAATGCAAATATATAATCACAGACATTAGGGCGACCACACACTCACACCCATACACTCCAACAGAGAGCAGCACAGCAGCAGGAGAAAGTGAAGTTAATGAGTTTACATGTTTCTGTATTAGCCTCGCTGCTAAACGTAGTCCTCTGAGGGGGAGCAGCTGTCAATGTGAAAATGAGGAGAAGAACAGATACAGGGAGTGCAGACTCAGGGGATATGTCTGTCAGTCTTTCTTCGTCAGTTACAAATGATCGCAGCACACGCAGCTGACCTCCAGGAAAACTAGCGAGACGACTCCAGTATGCAAATGCCATGTGAACGTGGCCTATCAACTGCATATCAAACTGCCTCTCTCTCACTCTCGTTTAGAACTGAGATGTTTACAGCCAGCTGTACTGCTTGCGTCCCCCTTCAGTTGTATGGTAGAAAGGGTTTTTGCCTTTGCGTGTTTTCGTGTGGGTAAAATGACAGAGCCAGATGTGCATTACCTCCTTCAAAACAAAAAAACATATGGTAATACCTTGTCTTGTGTAAAAGTGTCAAAATGCAAGTATTGAGCACATTTGCTAAATTACTGAATGCTCTGCTTCAGCCGTACAAATCAGATCTCTTGGTTCAGTGTGAACTCATGTTCTAAATGTACAATTAAAGTGAGAAACTCTCTGCTTAGTATGCTGTCAAGTGATTCAGTGAGATTAAGGGCCAATTTCGTGAGTTTTGTTCTATTTTTCCTTTTTTGGACTATTAGAGTGACATATCTTGCACTTCGGGAGCGTTTTTGCTTCAATGTAATTAAAACCGCACTTGATGTGTTCAGAGAACAATTATTCAACTTTTTTTTGTGCCTGAGAATTATACTTGTTTTTTGTTGGTTTATTTCTTCAATTTTGAAAATGTTTAAAGGGTGCTAGCTAGGACCACTCTGGGAGAAATTAATCATTGATATTAAACCTCAAATCCTATTTTTGCTGGTCCGTAGATGCGGTTGTTTATAATGTTTCATGCTGGTCGAGGCATTGCTTTATCATGCTGGGCTCTGGCTTAGATTCAAGTCGGCTTCTTTCAGGAGGATACCGAACCGCCAACACACAGGAATCCATTCATTATACTGTCACCAGCTCTCCCATATCAGCAGCGCTTCTCACTTCCTTAGACACACATACCTATGCACAACAAGAACACAGACATAAGGATGTAAAAATCCATACTTTATTCATTGTATGCTACTGGAGGGGGTTACATTTAAAATGCTAAAATTTGATTACTGTTTGTTTGTGAGAAATATAAGGTGGCCTCAAATGAGAACCTTGCAGTAACCTACCGGCTGAGATTAGTATTTATACCAACTTGCATGCGCATTTACTTCTCTATGGTTATATTGACACTGTATCTGAGGACATAATCACAATAGCATAATAAAGCACATTACTAATACAATGCAATTAACAGCTATAAAATTGAAGCTATAAACAGCAGTCTGAGTTTTTTTGTTAATGATTATCTGGTTTGGATCATTCTGGAGCATTGTAAGACAACATAGAATGTTGTTTGGCAAGGATTTTCTTGGTCCAAAATGTTATTATTTAATTTCAGATTGATTTAATAGAGCTTTATTTTTCCATTCTAGGCTCAGAAGCAAAAGACAAACAACACAATAGATGTGTTATGTGTGGTAAGTATGCTTCTTTTTATGCACATCTAAAACCAGACATTCATCTGATTTATGTCAAGTGCTATTGAAAGGATGAATAATAATGAATGAAAACAAAGATAAAGCAGTAATTATCTCATGTCACATTAGCCCAGTTCTGCTGAACTTTGACCCTGCACTAGAGGGCCCTTCCTGCCCGGTATGCACATGATCTTTACGGTGGGCGATGGCAAAATGTGAACGTTGCTTATCTTCTGCCTTTTAAAGTTCACTAAATGTCACTGTACATAATAAAAGCAACATTATATGCTAGAATGACATTTAGTGTTGCAACGGCAGGTCCAACAGCCCCAAAAATGAGAATCTCTTTTCAGTGAATAATTTCATTGCAGAATCAAAGAGCTTTTTAATCTCTTAGACATCTGAACCCATGTTAGGTATAACTCAGACAGAATGGCATTTTTATTTTTGAAAGAATTTGAGGTGTTTTTTTATCACTATTTTTTATTTTTGCTGTTCTGTTGGACACTTTTATAGCGTTTCAAGACATTAGCAGTTGCTTGCAAGGTGAAAGTCCAATTTTAAAAGCCTTGAAAAGCCAAGCACATATGCGTACAATTTCTGATAGAAGAGTTCAAGGTAAAACATCATAATGCAAAAATATGTGCATTTGTGACTTATCTAACTATCTCTTGGCTGTTAAGAATAATTGCTTATCCGCTTTCTCACATGTTTACTGTTATGTTCCTCCAAGGACCCACAGATCGATGACCCCAGCTCCTCCAATGCCATCTCCAGGAATTCGTCCACTCGGCAGGTGTCTTTATCAGCCCTTAGCTCTCTGCTGCTCCTACTGGCTACCTCCTTGCACTGCATCTTCATCACGGCGATGTTGTAGCCATCTAAGAACATAAAACATGGACAGTCACAATTTGTACAAAGTCGATCGCTGTTCCTGGTCAATCTGTTGTACTCAGTTCTCTCTCTCTTTCTCTCTCTTAGCCCATCCCGTCCTCTCTTTCTCTCGCTGTTCTGTTTTCTAAGAGCTTTTGTTAATGTTGTTGATGCAATGAAACTAAGTGGTATTGGTGTACTTTAGTTTCTGTCTCTTCTCTCCTGATTTTGCGTTGGAAGATGAAACGTGAAAGAAATGCAAGAGTGCCTCGGATTCATTGCAGCATTCCCATGTGATGTTGTGCCGTCTACGCAAGCGCTGGTGTTTCGATGGCCAGAAATCATAAGGACTCCTGTCACAGCTGTAGAGATTAATCTTATCTGTGCGTATGTGTACTTAAAGATGCAGTGTGCACCATCCATTGCTCACTGGTACACACAAAAACAGCAAAAGTGAGAACAAGACACTTTAGAGATGTGGTCACTGTTTATTTACACAAATTGTCTTCTGTCTATCTTTTATTTTGGTTGACGTTTTGGTGAAAATTAGATTCTCACAAATTGTGCTTGTCCTCTGTAGTTTTTCTATAGCATCATTGGCCCGTCTGTAGGTCAAACATATAAAAAAAAAAAAAACATTTGCAAAACATCTAGTCACAGAAAGTGAAATGTGGGTTTAGAGGGGAGTTTAATTATCAAGAATTTCCAGCCCATGCTTAACTGAATGACCAAAAGGACAGTAGCTCGTCTGATAAGACATGAAGGAGCCTATTTGTTTGTGTGTGTGGCTGCACGTGTGAATGCATAATGCTGTTTGTTTGTCTTTGTTTGAACATGAGGATGAGGTCACAGGTTGACTGGATGGATATGTCAGTAGAACTGGGGTTGCCACAGCGAAAACATGGACTTAGGCTAGAAAGCTATTGATTTTTGCGTAATCGGACAATATGTCAAGGTTCTATTTTACAATTGCATATACAAGTATCTGTAAATTGCACATCACCACTCACCAGGCTAAACCAACCGGCATCCGCGTATCTATCAAGTGTATATTGCCTTTCTGATGTTGCTTTGACAGGGATTTTCATACTTTGGCCCAAACTAAACATGCAAACTAGTCATGTATGCATTATATACTGTAGCCAGTTTTTTGTACTGTATGTCTATACAAAAGTTACTGAAAGAGTCAGTATCAGTGATCCTGCACCATAATTACTTCAAATCAGTGAGAATTCTATATGTCAGTATGAGGCATGTGCAGTTAAACCACCTCAGTGGCACACGTTAAAAGAGTCTATGACATGCTGCTTTGATTCATGTGGCATTTAAAAAAAAAAAAAAAAAAAATGTATTGTTGTACTTCATGTTATTTACAGAACATTTTAAGTGCTACATTAAAAAAAACACACAAACATATACGGTATATACTTCAACATGAACTATGTTTATAGAGCCTGCTATATTTGAATTGGGATCTGGTTGTACAATGTATTATCATATGGGATGAGGATTTATTGTTTTTCTCAGTAACTATATATATACAGTATACAGTATATTTTTTTTAGAGATAACAGTACAAATTGAAGACTTACATCTGTTATTATTGCTGTCCAGTAGTATCTCAAATGAAGGAAATGTACAACAGACATTTATTTACTATAACACTATGCTATTGTTTTATGGTAAGCCAAAAAGAAAAGGGAAAGAAACTCTTATTTTTGTATCTTTTTGCATTATGGGTTTATTTATTGTAATGTTGTCTTTTCTGCTGGTAAGCAGTACAGGAACTTTAAAAGTATGAACATTAAAAAAACAAGCATGAGAGATGGAAATGCAATAAAGGCTATTGGTATGGATTCTACGCAGGCATTCTTTTCTGGCTTTGAACGCAACACAAAGTTGCTGTATGCTTCAGATGGAAGCAGGAAAGTGAGAATCCCACATTGTAAAATCTATATTTCTCTATATTCACATCTTATTGCTCCACAGCATTTCAAATGCAAATACAAGACTCCTCTACAATCTGTCACATTTCTTCTTAGCTTGTGAAAATGTAAAAAGTATTCTATGAAAACAATTAAAAATGTCGACACATTCACCTTTGTTGTTGTCTCTTCTTGTGACGAGCGTTTCATTTTGTTTAGTTTTTTATGTGCAGGATGTATAAGAATAATTGAGCGTAAATAGCCACGGCAATAGTTTTGATCACAAAAGGAGACATCAATACATCAGTGAAAGCTGTTTTGAGGGTTACATAATAAATCAAAATAAAAAGCCATTGTGGCTTTGTGCAATAACCTTATCATAAAACGCAGATATTTAATTAATTCAATGAATAGTCTGTTGCGCGGTGTTTCTGAGTGAACCGCGGCGCTATGTTCATTTACACTGGTTCAGCTTATGTTGCGGTTTTAGAGTGGCTCAGTTCACAGTGAATGCTGCAAACTTAGAATGTACATTTGAGAATGCAATTTGTGCCAGGTTCACTATATTTTTACATTTGCATAATTTCCAGTTTTGTTTTGTTTTTCAGCATTTCACCAGATTTGGGACAAGAAAAGTTTTGTAAACCTGTTGTCAAATAAACACAGACTGCAAGGTCTCCCTAGGCTATCCTTAGTGTTTTCATCTTTGTTTTTATAATTAGAGTTAAAGTTATAATAAATTATTATTACTATTATTCAAACTGAGTTACTGTAAAACACCAGTGTGACTGTGATGTGGACTGAGACACTATCAAAACAAAAAAAGAAACTAAACATAAAGTCCCGCAAAAAGTACTCAAGTCAATGCAAAACAATTTTTTTATTACTTTTTTTACACTATTCAATTTGATCATTGAAAGAGGTCTTAGTTGGTTCTTATAAAGACTGAACCCATTGTTTTCACTCTTAAAAACCAACTCCATTGGCTCCATTTTTAGTTCATATCCCAGATCGCAATTGTAGCCCAGGCTCAAGAAAAACGTAAGTGGCAACATTTTTGCAAAACGCATAATACGCTGTGTCGCGCATGTTTCGCGACAGTTTCAAAGTGAAATATCCAGTGAGTGGCGCTAAAAGCGTGTTTAATTTTTTTCCGGAACAGATGATCTTGAATATGGCACTGTTTACGTTGGAGTCACAAGTAGGCTACAATTCTGCACCAGCTGAGCTATCAAGCAAGCTTAGTACGCTAAAACTGAACATACTGTATATGGAGCTGGTTACATGATACGAAACTCCAAAGTATGTTTACAAATCATGCAATATGGTAAAAAAAAACATGGGGTTTTGAGGTAATAACATAATTGCGCAAGTAGCATTGTGAGCCTGTGTTGCAAGGTAGTTGTTTGGCCAAATCGTGCAGCCCCTCTCCTTATCTACACTGTGAACGAACATGCTGTGTCCTCCTCACTAGTAGTGTAATATAAAAAGAGCAGAGTGAAGAGCTCAGGTAGGCTACCTCTCTCGTGCTTGACTCGACCCAAGAGGACCATGCAGAGGCTCGCTTCATATGTTTTCTTTATTGTCTGCTGTGGTCTGGCATTATCCCGTAAGTAGACCTACTAGCAATGTAATACTAACAAATTAACAATACGTTTTTTTAAATGCAGAGGTCATCTAATTAATACCTCTGAGGAAAGATAATTAATTTAGACTGCTTTCATCTCAGTTTTGCCTTTGCATAATTGCTCTTTAATCAACTACTGTGGTATCATTGGTCAACCAGTGTGGGGTCACATTGTTTGAAAGAGTTTTTAATGCCTTACGTTTTCAAAACATCTTATTACATGAACAACAGAGCCGAAAACAGACCGACAATGTTTGAGGGAGAAGGTCATCACATTCCCACAGCTGACCACCAGCAGCTGGGCGAAGCTCCACCCAAATGAATCCATGGATATGCCAAGTGACCGCCAACCCATGTCTGTTTTCTCTGGCCACGCCATCCCTCTCTCAAGACTTTTCTTTATCTTGGTCAGCTGACCTCAAACAATACCAGATGTCGATTCATAACAACCCTGTTCAATTCAAAGGGTTGACATTCAATTTAAATCAGTGGAACTCGGTGTGTGCGGCCTGGGATGCCAACAGTGGTCTTGCACAAATGTTTGTGAATGAAGTAGCCAGCATTAGGAAGGTGGTGGGCCCTACGGTAGCTTTTAAAGAAGCACCTGTCATAACACTCGGACAGTATCAGACCCAATATGGTGGAGGGTTCCAGCAAACTAATGTCTTCACAGGTTTTATATCAGATGTGCACATGCACAAACAAGTCCTTTCCCCTCGTCAGATTAAGACATACATGGTGGCAAAGACCAAATACAAACTTGGTGATTACATTAACTGGCACAATCTGAAATACACCATTGCTGGGTCTGCACAAGTGGAAGAAAAGCAGCAAGTAACCTTCTATACCAAAGAAGAGAAGATATAGTGCTGCAATATCATTGTAATGTCATGAGAAATTAATAAACATCTTGACAGTGAACTCTGTGCTTGCTTTTTAAAAGAGCAGTCTAAAAGACTTGGATTATAGTTTCATATTTTGGTGCAGTTTAATGATCAACTTGAGTAAAGTTGACACAATGGCCTCGAGTTTTAACGTATTCCCACTCACTCACTCACTCACTCACTACCCACATTATGACTAACTGATAGAGTGGCAGCACTTGCTAATATTGTAAAATGACCCACGCAAGTTAATTTGATCAACTAGCAACATTCTGAATGTGATATTTACTTTTGTTGTACTCTCAAAAAATCATTATTGTTTTGAACTTAACTTCCCTAATTTGTTTGTAATTTGTCATTTTTCTTTTTTACTTACAAACAAACAAGTACAGGTGCAAACCTTTGAAAACAAGTGTTGTTATTGTTAACTAAAATTACTATTTACTATTTAAAATACTTTTTTAAAAAATAGAAATGTTGCATTGGAAAGCAACTAATTAAATAAGTTAAAGTACTAACATTACTAAAACAAAAACTGGAATCAAAATCAATTAAAGCTATACAGTATAATATAAAATAACTAATAAAAATGACAAAAGCACATAACAAAACTATTTAAACCCAAACTGAAATTTAGAAAAAAAACTGAGCATATCAAAAAAAATGAAAATATTAATAAATACTATAAATATTACAAAAATAACACTTCTTAACGCATACAAACAAATAATTACCTTGAGACTGGAGAAAATGCACTGGTTTGCCGAGTCCACATTACAAATGTCCTCTTTAAACGTCCATCGGCATGTCTCCAGAAAAAAGAAATACAGGAAAATACAGGAAACAAAAAAAGCAGTCAAATTAAATTACATTATTGGGTAAAATTTGAAGGTGCATTTAATAGGCTTTATATTGAACGTCACATGAACTAACAAATAAACAGGTCTCATTGCATCCGCGTCAGAGAAAGTGTTAACAGCTGTGCGAACTACGAACTGACAGCAATATCTGTGGACTTTTAAGGTGATCAGCTAACCTATTATGTAGCTAATTATTTGTATGGTTGGCGTGTAATTCAATTTTAATGACCGAATGTTAATGTGAAGAAGAAGAAAAAAACATTCTAGATATCAATATGAGATGGACATTGGTTATGCTCATCTTTGTTCGCTCCTTTGACAACACATTCTCATCCCAATCTAACTGACACTTTTGACCATGCGTCAATATACCGACGCACATGGTACCCTTTAAGCGTCAATATGAGACGCTCATCCTCGGGCGTCATCTAACTGACGCTTTTGACCATGCGTCTAAATCCGGCGCACATGGCACCCTTTAGCGTCAGTTAGATGACGCTTCCGTTATGGGTAGGTTTAGGTCTGGGGCAAGGGGGTAATCCATCGACCGGAAGTTGAAGCCGGCCGGGTGCCGCCATGTTGTAGCAGAACTTCACTTGCGTTAGCATTTCCATTGACTCCCATTCATTTTGGCGTCACTTTGACAGCGAATAACTTTACATCTGAGGCGTTTAAAGACTCCATTTGTCCATTATTTATTTCTAAAGAAACACGACAATGTATACAGAGCTCCATTACCTTCTATGTTACATTATGGCCCCGTAGAAACAGATTTAGTAAAAATAGGCTAACGATTGCGTCATAACCACTCGACTCTCTGTCGCGCTGTACAGAAATGACCGTACAGACAGGAGGAGAAGCTCGCAGGCAATCGGGGGGACGTCCCGTCAAGGGAGAAGCCCATAGATAATGAGTCCATAAAAGCAACGGAATACTTACTCCTGGTCACTCACGCCAAAGCACTCTTTGCTCAAGTTCCCCATCTCTGCAAGATTAACGTTGGCAATTTTCACGCACAGCTACTAGAAGATTAACGTCTGTCAGACAGGTTGCTCACGTCATCAAGCTTAGTTTGAGTCGGTTTGAGTCTGCGCGTCAGGAACGGAAGTGCTCAAAAATCGCCAAAAATGGGCTTCAACTGTCTCAACTGAGTTCCAATGAGATGGCTCTGTCCACTTCTTATACTGTCTATGGTCTGGGGTAGGGTTAGTGTTAGACCACTAGGAGGCGCGTCTCATATTGACGCTTAAGGGGTACCATGTGCGTCGGCATGTTGACGCATGGTCAAAAGCGTCAGTTAGATGACGCCTTGTGAAGGCATCTTGAGTAAAACGGCTCTATATTTCACGAAGCACATGCAAAAGACCAGGGGCCATATCCACAAAACATCTTAAGGCTAAAAGTAGCTCCTAACTTGCCGATTGAATTTGAGCAGATTTCTCCACTGTTATTTAGACTGATGATATGAAAATAAGCTCTTGAAACTTCCAACTAATGGACGAATGGGGCTCCTCACACAGACATGCACGAATTAGATCATATCTACAAATAATGTTTGTGTGCAGTTTATGGACTGTAATATGTATACATATATGGAATAATATATTGCATTAGCAAGAACTGGCAGCTTGGCTCATATCATGCTGTGTGGTGTCAGGGGCCAGGCTCAGGAGCCTCAGGCACGTGGGGTCCTCACACACATCGGCAGGGGAGAACAGCTATCTTTAACATGGCAGCATCCATAACCATCCAATAATGAACACCGACCTCATGCAAGTCTGATCAGTGTCTTGAGGCAAAGTTTGGGACTCGAAATGCAAGGGACAATATGTATGCAGAAGATTGCTGCGTTTCTTTGATATGCAGCGAATTGTTTGTTTAGAGAGGTCTGATATGGTTGAGTGTGCAGGTCCCAGAACTCAAGCAGAAGAGTTTGCTGAAGATCCTAAAGGACTAAAGTGAAACTTTTGGTATGTAAACATTCCCTTTAGATGCAAGCCATTATAGAGACTCGCACCAGATTTAACAATTGATTAAAACACGCCCCCTCTTTCTACAGCTCAACTGCTTTGGCGTAACATGGTTTTTATCTGTCAATCAGAAGCTGGACAGCTGTTTTCAACTGCTTCCTCCAGCGCGAAAAAGCTTTACCGATGTTCACACTTGTCTTCTTTTGGCCTCTTCATTCCCCTCTGTCTTCCCATGTACAACACATTTGAACGCTCCAAACTCATGAAAACTGCTCCAAGTTTATAGAGTGCAAGGGTTCTGGAAGTAAAAATCTATTCTTTGTTTTTATTTTTTTACCAATACATTTTACCTTATAAACCTTTAAAAGATAGACCTACTGTGAGCTAAGATGTTGTTAATCTATGGTAAATGCTTGAAATATCTGACCGTATTATTTTTTTAAATAACCGCATTCAACAGCAGAATTCCTGGCGAAAAAATACATTAGCCTACCCATGATTCTGCAGAGAACTCTCCACCGATCAGAGTTGGTTCCGATCAGTTGTGCCAAGCAAACAGTGCCCACTTTTTCAGCGGAGTTGGTTCCGGTGTTGTGCCTGATTTCGACCCCCTGCCAAATTATTACCCCCCTCGTTGAAGTCAGTACCTGATTGCCTAATCCCAACCCCGCCCCTAATCCTAACCCCTCCCCCACAACTAATCCTAAACCTACCAATGCTAGGGGGGAAATAATTTGGCGGGGGTCGAAATTCGGCACAACACCGGAAGTATTTTCCATTTAATTCTCCAATAGGGATTTCAAAAAAGTTGTTGTTAAAGCGTTATCCAAAATGCTTGTGGTGGCTGGCAACTTTAGAAAAAAAAAACACTGGCGGGGAAAGAGTTAAAAATGTACTTAAAACAACAACAAAAAACCTACTTCAACATTTATATGCATGATATGCTTATTTTGCTATTATAGTAAAATTGATTGTTTCTATATAAAATCAGCATCTTTAAATCAATAGTTTTATATTTCTCCATTGCTTTTAGTTCAGTTATGTCATCCGCACTGCTTCATGGGATTGCAGTTCTTTCCCCCATTAAAGCCATTAAGTATGCAGTGTACCTTTGTCTTTTTTGTCTGATTTTCCAATACTTTTTTGCTTCAAATCAAAGTTGTGATTCACTTCGTAGCTGCTGGGACCGAGATGGGTCTTGTGCATGTTGCTCACTTGGGTCCCGTCTAGTACCAAGTGCAATCCTACATGAAATCCATCTGGGCTATTAACATGGGGCCATTCTGGAAACCACAGACAATCCCATACAGAGCCCATTTTTGAGCCCATTTTAAACCCACATAAAAATATTAGCAGCTAGGACCGAAATGGGTCTTGTGCATGTTGCCACTTGGGTCCCGCCTTGTACCAAGTGCAATCCTACATGAAATCCACCTGGGCTATTAACATGGGGCCATTCTGGAAACCACAGACAATCCCATACAGAGCCCATTTTTGAGCCCATTTTAAACCCACATAAAAATATTAGCAGCTGGGACCGAAATGGGTCTTGTGCATGTTGCCACTTGGGTCCCGCCTAGTACCAAGTGCAATCCTACATGAAATCCACCTGGGCAATTAACTTGGGGCCATTATGGAACCCGCGGACAATCCTACATGGGGCCCATTTTTCAGCCCATTTCATACCCATATGGGCCCCACATACAAATGTCGACTGGGTTAAAGCTGGGACGAGATGGGTCTTGTGCATGTTGCCCACTTGGGTCCCACCTACCAAGTGCAATCCTACATGAAATCCACCTGGGCAATTAACTTGGGGCCATTATGTAACCCGCGGACAATCCTACATGGGGCCCATTTTTCAGCCCATTTCATACTCATATGGGCCCCACATACAAACATTGGCTGGGTGGTTGGTCATAGCCGGAGTCATAGCTTATAATTCTGTAATGAATACTTTTTTAAAATGAATGGGAAGAATACTTGCACTCTGTTAGACTACTTATGGCTTCCGTTGTCCCGTCCTGTGAATGAGAAAAATTATTGACAGGCAGAAAGAACCTCAAAAGTGTTCTGATTGGCTAAACAGAGAATCTGATCCCGTTTCGTGGCCACTGTTTATTTAACTTCTTACATGCACCAGGGCTGTCACAGAGAGGAGTGATATCTCAGGATAGTTATTTCAGTGATACATTTCTGGGATTAGG